CTTATTGCAATCTGGGCACTGGGCAGGGAATTTCATTATTATTCTCAATCGATTGGATTAATGCACTTGCCCTGTTTTTGATGTCAGAAAGCGAAGGGCTTAATTAGGTTCGACCTCATGACATGACGTGTGAAAGAAAGGGCGTCGATTGTCGATTAAGTACAGGCGAAGCTTTCCGGATTCGTTTATTTTCCATGCCTGTATTTTTAGCGTCTTTTTCGCCCCAAATACACGGCAACGTCAATACTGACCGGAAGGCGATATCTAAACGAAGAAATGACTTATTGTTGGTTTATTTAATCGTAATATGGTACACGAATTGGAAGTACTGCACATTAATTAATTTTGAAAAAAAGATACATAATCAGAATGCTTACTGCATTTAGTAGTGTTTCAGATTTTATGATGTCTGTGAGATTCTCAAAAGAAGCGTGTAATTGTGTTTGAGTTTTGACAGCATCAATCTTCGGAATAACATTTGAAAATTCAAATTTGAAATTCTTACTAAAATTCAAGTTTAATGACATAAACGCTGGAGTCTGCATTTTTCCTCGACGTTTTTGCGAAGCTGATCCGGCAACTGCAATATGATATGAATCAACGGACTGATCTTGGAGAAATTGAGTGCTCGTAATTACATTGCGGAGTAAATTCCCGGCAATTTTTTCCAGATTTTAGAAAGTCAGCTTTGCTTGCACGAGAAAATTCATGGTACTGTATATCATTTTTTTTTCAATTCCAAGGAGTTGTCGTCGGAGGACATCGCGAAGGGCGTTTTGTCTGACATAAACTCAGTCAGCCCCAATAATCCATCAACAATTTTTTTGATTACACAGTCTTTACCAATAATGCAGTCGTTCTTAAATTTGCTTTACTTTCCCGGAATTTTCCTAAATCAATGCATCCTTCAAGCGTCATTTGTATGTTTAGTCTTGTAATGGCAGGAGAGAGGGGAAAAAATCACGCTGATTTTGTCCGTTGACAGCTAAATTGTCCATGTGCATCGAAACAGAGCAATATGATTCTGAAGCGATTGAAACCAATAGAAGTACGTCTCACAATTTCTGGCCGCAAGCTGTCTAGAATGGTTTTTTTTTTCAAACGATAACAAAAGAGGAAAGTCTTGAATCGATGGCGTATACTGTATTCGAACAAATGCGGTTTACCTTCACTTCCTCGCTATTTTGGTCATTTTACTGGCTACGAATGACGTTTCAAGCGCTTCGCTTACGGGAGAATTTCCCTAGCTGAGGAGATTAACCAGCGGAGTTTCCGGGAAGTAAGCAATTAGATGAAGCGCCGAAAGGAGCAGCACAAGTTGTTCCGTCTCGCGTGACTCGTCCCGTCGGCTAGGCAAGCGCCAACGGGACGATTCCGGAGCGCGAAGCACGCGAAAACGTGATGAGATATCAGGAAGAAGCGTCGCATGCAAACTGCGTATCGGATATGGGGGAGAATAAGCGGCGTAATCTCTGTTCGGCACAGCACGTCGGTATACAAAGCCGGGCCCCCGGAATCAATCCCCCCGACGCGATACTCAGGCACTGATTTCCGTCGGCATTGGGAACGGGGATCGTCGGATCGGAATGAAGATGCTGAAGGCGGGAGGGAACCTAAGCTGGATCCGCTGTTATCTGGCGTCACGCGTGAATTAAGAGTTCCGGCGACGCCGAATGTTGTTGTCGGGCCGACTCGAAGGAAACGTCAGCAGAAGAAGGATTCATCCCACGAAAGGCCACGTGCGCTGAAGGGACTGACGGATCGCGGCGCCCGGAAAAGGTCTTTGTGAGGAACCCGGTATGCGGAACACCGGGCCACAGAAGGCAAGCTATTCTTCAGATGAAGATGATGATGATGATGATGACGATCATACATCTTCGGAGGCCTTCTTCCGCCTTCAATGCGAGACGAAACAACCTCGATCCCAAGGAAAAGTTTGCATGCGGAATCCGAAATTTATTTTCAGTTCTTCAAGCCCGAATGAGCCAAGATCGTTGTTCAAGAAAAAACTCGTTCTTTATTTATAGACCGCCCCTTTTTTCATAGGCTGCGAAGCTCTGGGGAAAGTTTGAAGCAAATCATTATGAAAATGTTCCCCTAGCTTGAATATATTACTTTATACGAAGTAGAGAAAACGGTGGAAAATATGGCGCATCATATTTATTAATTTCTGACCAGTCGGTGGAATCTCGAAGGGATCAGACTTGGATACTTTTTGCGACCCTTTCTGTAGTACGGTATAATGACTGTCACCATCCCAAAAATCTTGTTGTTCATAGGCAGCAAAGGTATGAGTGTCCAATACTCGAATACAGTATCTATGCAATATTTTGAACCTTCCGAATGTTTCAGGTCGTTTATTATTTGATCGAGTTTCAACCTTTATACAGTACAGTATATAACCGCGTAAGAATACGGCTTCAGCTTTTATGAATCTTGGATTCGTGCTCTCATTTCTCGTCATTGGTGATAAGTAGATTTCGCTCCATTTTCTTCCATGAAACACGCTTGAATTTCATCTTCGGGTTCAGAAAGTCCAAATGACACAGAAGACATTCCTTTGTGCTTCTCCTCTATAGATAACGTTCACGGGGTTCTGACGTCAGCGCTCGGAGCCCGTCAATAAGATCACTTGCCGAAATGAACTCCGAGTTTGATGCGCTCCGTAAAGCCACGATTTGTGGAGCTGGATACTATTATGCTTATTACTTCCTCAGTTTCTCTATTCGCTTGGACATTCTGAGCAATAATCGCATAATGTATTATGCGTGACGAAGAATTTCTGCGATTCTCGAAATCATGAGTGCTGAAAGCTTCCGCGACCAACTTGGTTTCTGAGAGAATGTCTGATTCATTCCTCTCCGGGCTTCCTTTACATTTCCCGGATTATTATACTGACTGCTGGTGATCTCAGAATCCACGATTTTTTCAATTATAGAAGCTGTTTCGTCTTGATTTCGTACATCCGTTTCCGCGATGGACAGCGTATTCCTGTTTCCGGTGTCCTCACGTCGTACTTGAACCAAAAACCAGCGCGATCACAATCAGTTCGGTTATGATGCCGGAAGTTGGTCCCGTTTGGGTTTGCACTCGTCGTCCCAAAAATTCATTGAGATTAAACTTTCTGATCGATTTAAACCACAGCGAGTAAATTAAAATGCAATCACCAAAGTCGCGAAATGACGACCATTTTAGTACGAAACTGTTGAAAACATGAAAAGAATGAATCTCTCGCGTCCCCTTCTCGATTCAACAACAATTCATTGAGCATAATGAAACCACTCGTGCGTGAGAGCCTATGCTTTCTTCAGTTCGATGCTGAAAAAGTCGATGGCATGGGAAGAAAGAAGAGTTTTTCAGTAGTGGGAAACATTTCAGCTACACATTCGAAAGGGAGAACATTTGCCTCGGTTGCGTTTGTTCCCGTGAAGTGTAACCGGGGACGCCGCCTGAGCAGAAAGCTTGCGGGTCGCTGGAAAAGCGATTGCACTTGAGCCAAGCTTAAAGTGGGGGGTAGGGCTGCTTAGCTTTTCTGCACACACAATTTGCGTCACACCAGCCCCCGCAACTTCGAAGTCCGTGAAAGGCACAAATATGCTTGGAATATGCCCGTTCGAATAAATGCGATGTAATTGGTTCCAAAGGGCAAATAAGCTAATTATCTTGTTCAACTGTGGCATTTAAACAACTGAGGAGAGCCTGATTCTTATGTATTACATGATTGTCCAGGTGAGAAAATGATGGGATACACGCAACTACAATAATTTGAATTAAACATGTACATGATTAATGTAGCATTCACAAAGACAAGTAAAATAATGTAAACAAATACTGATAGATAAAAATGTCAATTATCCCAATGCAAAGGCTTAGAAGTTTATTTTCAATAATATTGCACTCAAATGTCTTTTCAAAAATTCACAGCTTCAATCTGCATTCGTTCAACAATGCCGTTGGTTGTATACACTGCAGATGCGGACAATTCCCCAACGCACCGTACTTTATTTATTTATTTTATTTTTTGCGGTAGTGTCACCTAGCTCACAGTATTTTTTCTCCAACTCACATCATTGATTTGATTTAAAAACCACTACAAAATACAGTGTATGTATACGTTTTACCTTCTTTCGAGAGCTCACGTGTGTCTGGACCTCATGAAACATCCGGAGAACGTTCAAAAAAAATTTTTCTCCTGGATTATAGGACTTCGATGCAGTAATAATTTTTTCGAATTGCCAAAATAACTGCAAGCTCGGTCAAAACTTTTCTACCAAGGTTGTTATGCTCAACGGTAAATTTCGACAGGTTGTGTCAGTTATTCTAGGCCAATTGAATACTATTCATTCTGTTCGATGCAAAATTCTTCGATCTCAACGCGGTGGCTACTTCGCACATTGACTCCAACAGCTGGTGTACACTGCATTATTTTAGAAACGATGACTAGATAAAAAGCCGAAACCAAGAGTAAAGAGGAAAAGACAGAAAGCATCCATCGACAAATGTTTTGCATAATCAACTTTCTGCGTTGGAAAATCTAATATTGGACATTTTTTCTTTAGATTGAAAAGAAACCATTCAACAGCAGTAATGTTACCTGTCTATTGAATACCCAACCTACTCAAACAACACGACGAGATTGTTCTTCAAGCAAGTAACAAAATCTTCTTCGGATGCTTATACTGACCATCCGTCAAGCAACCTTTTCTCGGAACTACTTGATGGTACTAGAGAAGGAAATACAGTACAGTATACGTTTTACAAAATGAGACCAAAATTCCGACAGTTGAACAAAGTACCACAAGTGATTTTTGTTTCAATTTTTTCGGCTACTTTTTCTTAACACGATTCCTGACATGTCATTTCAAAAAAGACACAAATTTGAAACATTGAAGTATGCGGTAATCCGTCCTTTCCTCATATGCGTGCTTTTTGTCTGATACTCTCTCATCAAACGTCACTAACGATTTTTTCAGTGCGAAAAAATTATCGTTTTTACTGGTCTATATACAGAAGTGGGAAGGAAGGAGAGAAATGGCATCAGTATCGAGAGGAAAGTGACTCACGTTTCCGAAGCGATCCATGTTTTTCATGTGCTGAGCAATAAACTGGACACTGGAAATGGTCCTCTCGATTTCGGGCGAATGCCGGAACTCCCTGAGCGGGCTGAGGTCAACGGGCATGCTGCCGACGTTCGAGCGGTAGTCGTCATCGGATTTTGGAAGACTGAAGGTGAAGTGGCCGCTGTCCACGTGCGACACGGACGCGGCGGCCGCCGACGCCGTAGTGGCGGGGCAGGCGTCTAACCGGAAGTCCCAGCGGGAAAAGCCCTTCTCGAACCGGATGGCTTCCTTGAGCTCCAGGCTCAAACGCCGCTTCTGGTCTTCGGCGTCGGGCCGTTGAATGCACAGAACGCGCGGCAGGAACTCGATGAACACCACCTTGACCCAGGGCGCCATCCGGTGCGTGGACGGGGACCGGAAGTTAACGTTCAGCACGCCGATAGTGGCGACCACGGAGAACGTGATCAGCGTCATCGTGAACAAGAGGTATTTTCCCAGCAGCGGTACCGTCAGTGACGTGGGTGGAATAATTTCCGCCAGCAAGAGGAAAAACACTGTCAGTGACAGCAGGATCGAAATACAGAGCGAGACTTTTTCGCCCGAATCCGACGGCAGGTAAAACACCAGTACGGACAAGAACGAGATCCCCACGCAAGGGATGATCAAGTTCACAGTGTAGAACAGCGTTTTCCTCCTCAGCGTCAAGTAGAAGATGATATCTGCAAACAATATGTTCAGCGAATTACGTACATAATCCGCATGTTCTTCCTCCTCTCGGTATACACGTAATAGCCTAACATCATCGTTTCCAGAACCACGTCCTGGTACCAACATTTGCTGAAAGTCGTCGCAGTCGGCAACATCCGTCTTGAATTGTTATACAGGGTGATTAAGACGTTACTAGACGGAGGAAATGGTGAATATCTTTTGGAGTTATGGACATACAGTGCAGTATAATTTATTCACATTGGGTTGAAGCACATAAGGTGGGATAACGCGGAAGACGAAGACAATTTTAAAAATCATCCGGTCACCCACTGTTCAAGTGTTGAATTACTGGAAGAAAAGGGATTTTTCACTTATCCGGATACGTACAGCACTCGAATCTAGTCACTTGGGAATTTGTTGAATCCCAGAACAACAGCAATTTTTTTTTTTAGAAATTAGAGCTGAGGTAAATGAGTGGAACTTGTGAAATCATTAGGAAGAACTATGATTTCACTATTGTTCACTGGATTAGTTGTGAATGAATCAAACTACCGGATTTGACTATGAGAGGATCGAATGATCTTTTTTTTTCGAAATGCAAAAGAATTTTTTTTTGCTGGGATGCTGTAAAAATTTTATTTTCTTCACTGTCACTTTTGCCCTCGACACAAATCCAAGATTTTCTGATGTATTCGTGCTTTATTTGGTCCAGTAACGCGTGGATCACACGGGCTGGTATGGATACAAATCTTAAAAATAAGTTTGCAAACTTAATTGATGCAAATGATACTTTCCTGATGCACACTCACAAAGACAGCAGTTATTTTAATGTGTCCACTAACTGACCATTCAGCCTTGAGAAAACAGTTAGTAAAAATTCAAAAGGAAAAGCAACTCGATGGATTTTTGTATCATTGAGTTCACACACACAAAGGTTTTCGTCAAGCATTGCGGGACTTTCTTCATTCTATTCTCCGCCGAGCAAGGAGAAAAGAAGATGAATCGTCGACTTTTCAATGTGAACAGAACGCTAATTCCATCGTCCACAAATCAGGATTTTCGAAAAATGCGGTCTTTTCAGTCACTGCGTCTCAATACTGAATGGATGACTTTTCTTTGGGCCAAGAGGATACAAAATAATATTTCCGCAACAGTTTCTGGAGCTCACTGTAGGGATTTTTGGGCCGTGCAGCGAAAACTTTTTCCGATTTATTTCTTGCGATGGTTTTCTAGCTATTCAGAAATGTTCTGACCTGGGTATGGCTCTTCGCAGCACGGGTAGAACTTCTCGTTCCTCACTGCTGGGACTGTCATGATGTCCCACTCCACTGAAATGTAGTACTCTTTCAGGTCGATCCCAATCTCGATTTCGTTGCTGTCGGGTGCCTGGTTGATGTGCCGCAAGTCGACCTGATGGAACAAGGAGGAACACCGGTGCCGTTGTTTCTCAAATTATTCCGACCTTTCAGAGTGAACGTTTTCTTTCACAAGCATCAACCGAATTCCCGTTCCGTTCCTTTTCAATGCTAACTGCACCGCTAAACATTCGAGTCAAACAGGATCTCCGAGAGTTACGAATGGTACTGGAGGAATAAAGAGTCAGGTCTTAAAGGCTCTCTGGAGACTTTCCGCGAGTCATTTGGGAAATGTTGAGATGGAAATCTCGAATATACTTTTTAAAGAAGGAATGTTCTCTTACAAGATTGCTCCAACCATCCACAAAGCTTGACGATAATGCTGGCGAACAATTCGCAACCTCATTTCGCGAATATCCTTCGCACCATGCATGAAAAAGCTTACTCTGAGGGATGTGATTCGCTTCAGTTTTCCTCAATAAGATGTCTTGCTCAAACAGCGTACAAAGTTGGATACATTTCAGGGAAAATTTCTTGACATTTATTTTCATCCCGTAGTCGCCATGTCTGTTGACAGAGCTTTCGCCGGGAAATTCTGGATGAAACCCTGCTTTTGAGACCCGACAGAAAAGGTTGCATCGTCGCATTGGTCATGTAAAAGGTCATCTCGCACTTTCAGAAATTATTCAGAAGGGAATGGAGAAATCGAGAAGCTGTTTTAAATTGTGGGGAAAACTTTAATTCCTTCATTGTGAGTTCACGCGTATATTCTCTTTGAGACTGTGACTGTCAAGTGTTGAGTGTGATGCCACTTTTTACGCTGAAGATGAATTTCTACCGCGAGATGATAGAACCCGAAGAATGGTCATAATAGGACAAAATTGCGAATCGTACATCATTTGTTGCGGAATTCAAAATGCAAAAGTTATATGTGGTAGATTTGAAAATGGCTCACCAAATAACCGTCGTAAGTCCAAGAGCCGAACTTGAGGTTACACCGCTGTTCGTCGAACGGGAAATACTCCACGTCCATCTCACACGAAGACTTGTAGATGGCGGGCGGCTTCCATGTCACTTTACCCGAGTAGTGAAGAACTGCCTTCGTCATAATCGTTACTTCGTAGTTCCCGTCCGCACTGTCGAGGAAGAGAAAACAAAAGCCGGGGGACTGCGTTACACGGGATCCTTCAGTCAGCAAAGTCAATCTCCGCGGCACCCGCGTTCAACTTTTGCATTAGGCGAAATTATACGCGTCGATCTCGTCAGCAAACGGGTGTATTAGCACGCCAGGAGAATTCCCTCGAGTCCCGGCCCTTGCAGCTCCATCAACGCTCACCAGGCGAGGCGGGAATAAAGAACACCTCGTCAGCGCCGGAATCTCGTGAGGGTTTTTATTTCCTTTTCTGGGCACCCACGATCGCGACTTGACGGAACACATCATACTTCAAATGCTTACCTTCCCCTTTTCCGCGTCGTGGCGTTTTTCCGCTCCTGGATCCCCGAATCCTCCTCCTCGATATGTCATACTTTCTAGCCCTCGTCTCTTTGGAGAGGAACTTTGGAAAATTCGAGCTGCCCGAAGCGGAAGATTCAACTACGTTGTCGCGCAGACTTAGGTCTCATTCCTTTCGGTTTGCGCTTTTTTCAGACTTCTAACTCGAAGAAGGAAACCGAAGAACATTTTATTCTGCCACCTGAAGTTTCTTTCGCGATCCTCGCTTAAGAAATTCTCTCCGACTGAAAAAAAAACCGTCTTTATGCATCCCCATGAAAAGCCTACAACTCCTACATGGCCTCAATATGTCGTTCGTGATAGATGGAATCATTTCCTTGACGAGGTTCGACTTTCGCGTCAGCTGAAAAGAATTTCAGCTGGCTGGAAGCTTTATTTCAGACATGGTTTTTATCAACCATCAGTTTGTATAATGTGGAGCATTCACAAGAGTATCCAGGATTTTCAGAGCAAGGGTCTCCGGAAGATACATAAAAATAGTGCTCATGATTCCTGGGAGGTACAGTGGATCTCAAAGAACGCTTTCTGTTGCATCCTTTGAAGTAGGAGCATCAAAAGTAGCAAATTCGATTTCATCCAATGCGACATGCGCTTTATAACGAGTCTTGTCATTCGTTGGTGGCGAAGTTTCTTCCTTTGAATTGCGGGTGTCTCACCGGAAAGGAAAAAAAAAGTTGAAACCAGCAGGCCAGAAGCTTCATCAAAAGTCGAAACAGAGGCTGCAATGATTCAACGAAGTTAGTTTACATTTCAAGGCAAGAATTGAATCTGGAAATGTTTCTCGACTCCGTAACGTGATGACTTGATGCATCAAGCTACATTGAAAATTTGGAGAGTCATTTCCGTGACAGCTATGCGGACCAATTGGGATGATTTATTCATGCATAATGCTTTAATTTTTTAATCGACATCCCTGGTCAGAATTAAATTATTCGAAGATATTTTCTAGAACATTGCAACCCCAATGCCATATGTTCGAAACATGCCGACGTGACTTGAAAAGCGACAGGAGCTTATATTGAATAGAAGCCTCAGAAAATTTGACTTCGTTGAATTTAATCGTCTTGAAATTAAAGGTGGACACGTTTTTTAAATTTTTCTGTTCACAGCAATCTTTTTCAAAGGACGACTTCGTTTTCGGTCCCTGCTGTACTGGGTAAGCAACTCCGCTATACAGCAATTTTTTCTCCTTATCCTATTTCGGTCCTAAAAATGTTCAAGAAGATAACGAATGAGAGTTTATATTTGCATTATTTAGTCCAAAAATGGATGCTCAAAGTGGGAGACATGCCCAAGCTGTTGAGTGTCGACTAAAACGATGCAGTAAACAACGTCGAGGTCATGCCAGCAACCTCTAATTACACATTCAGGAAAACCAGAAGCATGACGCAGGGGACTTGATTCGCTTTGTTAACAACGGCGACTCAGCATGATGGCGGAAACGCGCGGATTTCCACGGACGAAATACTACGCTCAAGGCCTTCGATTTGCATCTGACGCATTAATCAAAGGCGGATATTTCCCGGGGATCGCCGAACTTTCAAGCTCCCGGATGTTTCAGCCGCTTTGTTTTCCTCCCGTGGAAATGGGTTCGATACGACAACACGCACACATCACTTGTGCAGTCCGAACTTATTCTCGCGCTTCGGACCTTCTGCATTCGGTTCAGCTAGTTTGCGCTGCTTGGGTAACGCGATAACATATCACGTGATTCTATACCGTAACACTGTAATGAGACCCAAAAACGGCAAATTACAAAAATTAAATACCGGTAAGACGCTTCTCATTTTATTGCACATGCTGTACAGTATAAGGAAACTGAAGAATACGGCAGTGTATCGTCGTTTTACGAATCAGACTCACTTGGAATGGATTTGAATTTGAAACTTTTGTACACCTTTCATCTATTTATTTCCATTACCATTCCACACATCTGGAGTATATAGATCGAATGTATGAGTCGACTGCTGTAATGTAATACACGATACAGTACATGTACAGTATTTGCTTGGGTAGTTGATCGCCATGCTCAAATTTTCTCGAAGAAAATGGTGGCCTATTTTCGTGCAAAGGCAGGTAAGTACCCAAAAAATACCGTACGATCATATGCGATATCATTGTCGCTAAAATTTAAAAAGTCTCATATTTAAAAATAATTTTACCCTCAATTGGTCTCGAAAAATAACGGAATTGAAAAGTCAACTAACTCCGGATCCACCAACAGCAACAAAATCAACGTCATTGAAAGAAAATTCCCGCTACTTTCAGGGATTACTGCAAGCATGTGTGTCACGAAATTATTTTACAGGAGAATACTGTATATTTTATAGCTTGAGAAATAATGCCAATATCATCAGCATGCCTTGCATTACTGGGTTTACTTCAACACATCGTAGGCCAGAATTTGTGCATGTATCATTCTTTCTGTAAAGTTTCCTCACGCATCAAAGATCACTTTGAATAAAAGGGGAAGCGAGCCTTTTCTAGACTAAGGAACAACTTTCCGTCATCATCAATTTTCTTCGGCCATGCTTGGAGAGCACGTGAATTCCTTTCAAAGGTATGCCCCTGAGTTGTCATTTAAGTTAGCGATGCGTGAACTTTCATGCAGGCTTTGCCATGTCGACAGTTAATGTGAGAGATTGCTAGAAAACTTTCTGGTTCAGGAACGCTTCTAAAATTCTGAAGGATACTTCAAATAAACATAGTAAATTCTGACTTTTGTATTCGCGAGAATTTAATCCGAACTCTTCAAGGCTTCTCAAAGCTTCATCACGAAGATGTCTGTAAGTTTCTGAAGCGTCGGGGGGGGGGGGGGGTTCAAGACAAAAATGGCCAACATTGCTGCTGGGAAAAGAAGCCCATGAAAAAACACAATATGTGTGTTTTTGTGTGGTATCGCATGCTGGGTATCATGCCATTATAAAAGTTCAATAAATGAGCGAACGCTGTCGATATTTTGAATTTTGCAGCTACAGTACTTGATAAGCTTTGCTAAATAATAATGTCGTATTATTATCATAGTTTGCTCTAGATTGTATTACAAGCCTCGGTTTTTTTCTTCTTTCAAAAAACTTTGCTCAAAAACGTTACCAACTGATATATTGAACGTATCGGAATATCCCGATGTACAGTATACAGTTGTTTTTAAACCACAATTTCTGAAGGCTAGAAAACGACTTTTTCAGTTTACAAGCATCAAACTGTTACTCCATAGCAAAGCAGATGATTCATTGCCCCTATACAATTGTTATTGATTAAGGTCCCAAAAACGTGATGCCACTATGATACCAAATATACAGTACCATACTCGCAGATGTCTCATGATTGTGTTAATAGTGTGCATCCGCAGAGGTTAGCAAGATTTAAAAAATTGCCACGAAACGCCGTTGGGATATGAAGTCAACGAAAGCCGTACGGATGAGAGCTGCTGGACATTTTGTGTAACGATTATAACGAACACAGAACTACGATAAATCAATCCGAGTTGAAATTTAAATATCAAGTCGCAGAACAGCAACTGCACAGAGCAGCAAGTGCACAGAATAGTATCAAGTTCACATGAGAGAAGGTACACAGAACTGCAAGTGTTCAAAACAGAAAGTGCGCAACTGATCAAGTAAAAAATAAACGAAAACTTTAAACACATTTTAAGCCAGCTGCTTTGTGTACAGTACTCGCTGTTTTATTGAAGACCATGTTGAACATACTGTCTATGTGTTGGTGGCTGCGACATGATCTCTTGTTCTGCGAGTTGTGTTATTTTATGCTGCGCTGTTCTGTGAGTTACGGCTCTGTCGCATAAGCGATACATACGTGTCAAAGGTAGACTCTAGTTGAAAGAAATGAGGTTGCCGTCGTCTCGCACCATTGTGGCAACTATCAGTTACCGTGCAGAAAGCGATGATTTTCCTCGAGATGGGAACAAAGAGGGACTATGGAAGACAGAGAGGGACAGAGAGGGAGAGAGAGAGAGAGAGAGAGGCAAGGAAATGTCGGATACTGACGCACAATTAAAAGAAAGAGAAGAAGGAGTTGTTGGCGGAGAGCAAACACCCAAGAAGGAAGAGAGCGTAAGCTTGTGAGATTTTCGTTTGCAGTCGCGATGACGACGCGCCGAGAATATAGGGTGGCAGGAATGAGGGATTGATCCCGGAAAAAATACAGTGGACGTGAGGTTATTTGCGCCTGGAAATCAGATCCCGGGAAAGCACACAGCACCGTGTTCCCGACGGGAGGGTTTGTTGATTACGGAATTCAGCAATGTATCGAGTATGTGCGGCGGAATGAAAAACCATCCCTGAGAACATGTATGTGAGGCCGCACCCCCCCCCCGCCTCTAACGAAAAATGACGCAGCTAGTTCTCAAAAATGCTGGGTCAGCCTGTGCCCACTATATTCGGGCACAGCATGGAATTTCAAAAAAAGATTCTCAATCGTGCCAATCTCAACACAATGTCGTCACGGAAACAGTTGTAGGGCCTTACAATACATTTGAAATATCACAAAGCTCATTAAATTGAGGTTTTACGAAAAATAACTACCGTACTTTGTATGCATTTTTCCGTCTGTTGATTGTATACTCGGAACGAAGTTTTTCTGATAAAAGAGCAAAGTTTGATA